TGAAAAAAAAATATATATATATATATATATATATATATATATATATATATATATATATATATATATATATAAATGTATATATACAGGGTTTGAAATTAACTTTTCCACTCACCGGCCAATTTGAAGTGTTTATAGGGGAATATTGCAGGTGGGTTCGATTATGTACACTCAGCAGGCAGTATGTAGTGTACACTCAGCAGGCAGTATGTAGTGTACACTCAGCATGCACACTGTTCACTAGGCACTGTGCAGAATACATTGTTCAATATGCAGTATGTAGTACAGTGTTAAATAGTCAGTGTACAGTATTCATAGTATACACTAAACAGTAGGCAGAATGAAGTGTGCAATGTTCTGTAATGCAGTACATAGTGTACACTGAGCACAAGCCAATAATCAGTATTCAACATGCATCAAGCAGAAGGCAGTATGTATGCAGTGTTTAGTAGGCAGTTTACAGGGTTCGACAGACTATGCAGTGTACAGTATTCAGTATTTAGTATGCAGCATACAATAAACAGTATGCAGTATTTAGTACGCAGTGTACAGAGTAGTGATCTGTTTGCAGTGTAAACTGTGCAACAGGCAGTGTACAGTGTTCAGTATTTACTATGCAGTGTACAGTATTCAGTAGTTAGTATGCAGCATACAATAAACAGTATGCAGTATTTAGTACGCAGTGTACAGAGTAGTGATCTGTTTGCAGTGTAAACTGTGCAACAGGCAGTGTACAGTGTTCAGTATTTACTATGCAGTGTACAGTATTCAGTAGTTAGTATGCAGCATACAATAAACAGTATGCAGTATTTAGTACGCAGTGTACAGAGTAGTGATCTGTTTGCAGTGTAAACTGTGCAACAGGCAGTGTACAGTGTTCAGTATTTACTATGCAGTGTACAGTATTCAGTAGTTAGTATGCAGCATACAATAAACAGTATGCAGTATTTAGTACGCAGTGTACAGAGTAGTGATCTGTTTGCAGTGTAAACTGTGCAACAGGCAGTGTACAGTGTTCAGTATTTACTATGCAGTGTACAGTATTCAGTAGTTAGTATGCAGCATACAATAAACAGTATGCAGTATTTAGTACGCAGTGTACAGAGTAGTGATCTGTTTGCAGTGTAAACTGTGCAACAGGCAGTGTACAGTGTTCAGTATTTACTATGCAGTGTACAGTATTCAGTAGTTAGTATGCAGCATACAATAAACAGTATGCAGTATTTAGTACGCAGTGTACAGAGTAGTGATCTGTTTGCAGTGTAAACTGTGCAACAGGCAGTGTACAGTGTTCAGTATTTACTATGCAGTGTACAGTATTCAGTAGTTAGTATGCAGCATACAATAAACAGTATGCAGTATTTAGTACGCAGTGTACAGAGTAGTGATCTGTTTGCAGTGTAAACTGTGCAACAGGCAGTGTACAGTGTTCAGTATTTACTATGCAGTGTACAGTATTCAGTAGTTAGTATGCAGCATACAATAAACAGTATGCAGTATTTAGTACGCAGTGTACAGAGTAGTGATCTGTTTGCAGTGTAAACTGTGCAACAGGCAGTGTACAGTGTTCAGTATTTACTATGCAGTGTACAGTATTCAGTAGTTAGTATGCAGCATACAATAAACAGTATGCAGTATTTAGTACGCAGTGTACAGAGTAGTGATCTGTTTGCAGTGTAAACTGTGCAACAGGCAGTGTACAGTGTTCAGTATTTACTATGCAGTGTACAGTATTCAGTAGTTAGTATGCAGCATACAATAAACAGTATGCAGTATTTAGTACGCAGTGTACAGAGTAGTGATCTGTTTGCAGTGTAAACTGTGCAACAGGCAGTGTACAGTGTTCAGTATTTACTATGCAGTGTACAGTATTCAGTAGTTAGTATGCAGCATACAATAAACAGTATGCAGTATTTAGTACGCAGTGTACAGAGTAGTGATCTGTTTGCAGTGTAAACTGTGCAACAGGCAGTGTACAGTGTTCAGTATTTACTATGCAGTGTACAGTATTCAGTAGTTAGTATGCAGCATACAATAAACAGTATGCAGTATTTAGTACGCAGTGTACAGAGTAGTGATCTGTTTGCAGTGTAAACTGTGCAACAGGCAGTGTACAGTGTTCAGTATTTACTATGCAGTGTACAGTATTCAGTAGTTAGTATGCAGCATACAATAAACAGTATGCAGTATTTAGTACGCAGTGTACAGAGTAGTGATCTGTTTGCAGTGTAAACTGTGCAACAGGCAGTGTACAGTGTTCAGTATTTACTATGCAGTGTACAGTATTCAGTAGTTAGTATGCAGCATACAATAAACAGTATGCAGTATTTAGTACGCAGTGTACAGAGTAGTGATCTGTTTGCAGTGTAAACTGTGCAACAGGCAGTGTACAGTGTTCAGTATTTACTATGCAGTGTACAGTATTCAGTAGTTAGTATGCAGCATACAATAAACAGTATGCAGTATTTAGTACGCAGTGTACAGAGTAGTGATCTGTTTGCAGTGTAAACTGTGCAACAGGCAGTGTACAGTATTTACTCTGCAGTGTACAGTATTTAGTACACAGTGTACTATGCAGTATTTAGTATGCAGTGTACAGTATGCAGTATTTAGTATGCAGTGTACAGTGTAGTGTTCTGTATGCAGTGTAAACTGTTCAACAGGCAGTGTACAGTATGCATTGTACAGTGTTCAGTATTTAGTATGCAGTGTACAGTATGCAGTATTTAGTATGCAGTGTACAGTGTAGTGTTCTGTATGCAGTGTAAACTGACGGCGGTCTCTCAGAGGAGCTCCAGTGATCAGTGTGTGTGTGTGTGTGCGCAGATGCGGGACACGGCGGGGCAGTTGTCACGTGATAGCGGTTACTTTTCTCGGCGCTGTCAGGACTGACCAATCACAGCTGCGTGTGATATTTCGATGGGGAATACTAATGTAATACTTTATTACTTCACTGTATTGACATGTGTGCGTCGGGAATTATTCATTGGGAGTAAACGATTTAAACGATTACAGTTTATGGCACACAAATGTCGGTAATAAGTCACACAGCGCTCTGTTTTTAATACATCTAAAATATATATTTTTTAATAAATGTAATGAACAAGACCACAGTTCAGTTATTTTTCAAGTCTGATCTTTATTGAGTTAAACCAATTAACCACATAACTCACCCACGAGTCCACCGACCCCTCGTGTTTTATACACCTTCATAAATGACAACGCAAGATAAACACAGATATGATAAACAAACACAGATAAGGCAATGAGATGAATAAGGCTTCTGGTAAACGATTGTCACGTGTGTAGTGTGCAAAACGCCCCGAGACCAACCTCTTCATCATCTTCATCCTCTGCTACATTACACATCATATAAAGCTTTTCTATGAGAACCACACGAGTGTGTGAGACGGTACAGACGCGCCTGTGCTGTTTATATTCTATTACTGTAGGACACACAGCTGGAATATAGTGCAAACATTTCACTTCAA